CAGATTTAAGGAACATAGGCCCACCATCCGTCACANAAATTTGATGAATTACTTCTTTCATCAAATTGAAAATGAAGAACTTATCTTTAGTTTCACCTGAACAATCCACAGATTTAAGGAACATAGGCCCACCATCCGTCACAACCATAAAATTAATCAAGGGCCTCCTTTGTGAGTCACTCCATCCATCACTCACAATGCTCACACCTTTTTCTTTCCATGTGCTTGTAATGGGTTGTAGCAATCTCTCAATATTAGCATGTTCTTGTTGGAGTAAAGTAGTCCTCAAAGAATTATACTNCACTCACAATGCTCACACCTTTTTCTTTCCATGTGCTTTTAATGGGTTGTAGCAATCTCTCAATATTAGCATGTTCTTGTTGGAGTAAAGTAGTCCTCAAAGAATTATACTCTGGTGGCAAATAACCCGGAAGAGGATTAGATGTGGCAAATGAAAAAACAGTAACAAAATATGGATTCCTTGCAAGGTTCTAATCACCTTTCTTTTCTTTGATTCATAACCCCCTTCATCAAAGCTATCCAAATGATCTCCAAATGAGACACTAGGAGGCAATGGTACTTTCTTCAATGCAACTTTTCTTGATCTTTTATTANTCACCTTTCTTTTCTTTGATTCATAACCCCCTTCATCAAAGCTATCCAAATGATCTCCAAATGAGACACTAGGAGGCAGTGGTACTTTCTTCAATGCAACTTTTCTCGATCTTTTATTAGCTTCATCCTCTAATTTTTGCATATCTACAATATCTTGGCTTGTAACTTTATGACATGCTCCAATCCCATGACCAAACAATTTCAATAAATGAGCTCGTACCCTTGTGTATCAGCTTTTCTTAGTTTGATTTGCTAAGAAATATTTCCCCCACCATCACTCAACTTCTCGAATCTTGTAATGTACTTCCAAAGAGGTTTAATTATGTCTTTTTCGGTAGATGGTGCACTGCTAGCACCCATATAACNTCTTGTAATGTACTTCCAAAGAGGTTTAATTATGTCTTTTTCGGTAGATGGTGCACTAGCACCCATATAATNCCCTTGTGTATCAGCTTTTCTTAGTTTGATTTGCTAAGAAATATTTCCCCCACCATCACTCAACTTCTCGAATCTTGTAATGTACTTCCAAAGAGGTTTAATTATGTCTTTTTCGGTAGATGGTGCACTGCTAGCACCCATATAACTCATTTTCTTCAATTCTGAATAAGGCAACAAAAATAAAAGAAAAAACAGAAATTACAACAACAGACAAAAAACAGTAGTATACAGGAATAAAACAGGAACAACATAGTTGTAGCAGCTCATATAGGAATAAAACAACAGAAAAATAGAAGGAAAAACACAAATTACAACAGCAGACAAAAAAAAAATAGCATACAGGAATAAAACAATAGACTAAAAATAAATAGTGGGGTTGAAAAAAAAATAGTAGGGTTGCAGCAAAAACAACAGGCACCAGCAAAAAAAAGCAGGGTTATAGCAGCAAAAACAACAAGGTTGTAGCTGCAAAAACCAGGAAAAAAAATAGCAAACCAACAAAAAAATAAAGAAGAAATTGCAAGTTTAGGGTTGAGTAACAGGGCCAGAAAAATAGAATGAACAATAGAACAGAAGGCTTTCCCAGAAAAATAGAATGAAAAAAAATGTCAATTTTGCTTTTTTCGGTTAGGGTTTAAAACTTGTTAAACACTAATTGAAAACTCTAACAGGAGAAGCCCTAAAGAGAGATGGGAATCACNAAATTGCAAGTTTAGGGTTGAGTAACAGGGCCAGAAAAATAGAATGAACAATAGAACGGAAGGCTTTCCTAGAAAAATAGAATGAAAAAAAATGTCAATTTTGCTTTTTTCGGTTAGGGTTTAAAACTTGTTAAACACTAATTGAAAATTCTAACAGGAGGAGCCCTAAAGAGAGATGAGAATCATATCTTATTGAAGAAAAAATGGTGCAAATAAGAAAAAAATATCATGGGTAGTTCAGAATGAAGGTTACCTATGATAGAAAAATCTGCTGGTTGTTGAAAAATTGCCCAAACCGAGAATAAGGAATGTTGAATCTCTCCCGTCGACTTGCTGCAAAGAAGAAACGTTGCCGAAGTGGTTGGACTCTCCTCTCTTANAAGAAAAAAATATCATGGGTAGTTCAGAATGAAGGTTACCTATGATAGAAAAATCTGTTGGTTGTTGAAAAATTGCCCAAACCGAGAATAAGGAATGTTGAATCTCTCCCGTCGACTTGCTGCAGAGAAGAAATGTTGCCGAAGTGGTTGGACTCTCCTCTCTTAGCTTGACAGAGAAGCCTAGAACCAACGTTGCCGGTGTTTTCTACTTTTTTTTTTCTTCGTCGAATCTGTTCTCATAGAGAGAGAATAAGAAATATATGTTTCATTTTTAATTCCTAGTCTTTGTGATTTTTATTTTCTGGCCCTTCCACTTTTAAATAACTGCAAAAAGATCCCATGTTTTAATTTTAAAATTACAAAATGGCCCTTAAACGTGTCCACTGTGTGTCCGAATTTGAAAAAAAAATAAAAAATGGACACTCTAATTAACGTGTCCGATGCGTTTTCGTATCCCAGACGTGTCGAACACGGATACGTGAGTCAAAATCGAGTGTCCGTGCTTCATAGCTTGCACGACCCCAAAACCCCAAATTGGTCTCTAGTCCACTTGCAGATTCGCAACCCTTGTCCGACGACGAGTCTCCCTTTTTTTCTCAAGTGTGTGCCCCAGGACATGGATCACCTTGACTTCCAATGCCGGCAAAAAATCAATATTGTCCACAATTTTCATTACCCACACACATGCCCAAGAACATGGTAATCCCAATTCAGGACTTTGCTTTCTGCCACCTTCTAAGACCCTTGATTGAGCTGACCAAACGTTCGTCTAGCCACATTTCGAGGAACCAACTAATCCAAATGGAATTGGATGGGGGTAGATGTCGGCGGGATGTTGGTTTCCTAGATTTAGGTGTAGGACAAGGGTTGTGTTGGAAGTAGGAAGAATAGATCCATGTAAGGACTGTGGGAATTGAATTAGCAATTGTATGTGTGAGCATGGTTATCAAAACATGTATTTTTTTTTAAAAATATAGTATCGTGTATCGTAAGATACACTTAACTCAACTTAAATTTATATTTGTATATGTGTATATATATATATACATACACAAATATGTAAAAATTTGTAAATATATATTTTTTGAAGTGATATATATATTATTTCAACTCACTTATTTTTTTGTGCGATGCATGTTTCGGTAGAGATCGAAAGAGAGAATCATTTGTCTTCACCGAGAGATCAAAATGTAGCAAGAGTTTTGTCTATTTGAAGGAGGAGAAATAGAATAAGATTCAAAAGAAACAAAAAAGGGTCATAAGGCAAGACAATTGAGAGCTTAGTTTGTTTGAGATCAATCCAAAAAATAAAAAATAAGGTATAGGAAGCGATGTTGTTCCAAAAAATCCAAGATTCAAGCGTGTATTGTAAGATACAATTAATTTAAGTTTATATGCATACGTATATATATACCTAAAAATATATAAATATGTAGTGTTCAAAGTAATATAAATATCATTTCAACTCACGCATCATTATGTATGATGCATGTATCTGGTAGAGATTAAAAGAGAGAATCATTTGTCTTCATGTCAGATATCAAAATATACCTAGGGGTTTGTCTCTTTGAAAAAGTAGGAGAATAAGATGTTGGAGAAAGAAAATGATCGAAAGTTTCGTTTGTTTGAGATCGACCCAAAAAAGAAAAAATGACATATAGGAAACGACATCGTTTCAATTTTAGCATAAAGCATAAGTCTTGTGAAACGTCTTTTCATTGTGCAGAGTGAAAAATTATATTGACAATTATAAACAAAAGTCTTTTGAAACGACATCATTTCACTATGCAGAGCAAAAAATTGGAAACAATGACCTTTTGTGTTCATTTTTTCCATTATGTTGAAATGTATCCTAAAATACGTCTTGTTTATTTTAAGATATTGGGAAAAAATGATACGACTCCTAGATACGTGTCATTGGGGTATTGTAAGATTNTTAAGATATTGGGAAAAAATGATACGACTCCTAGATACGTGTCATTGGGGTATTGTATCAGGACGTATTGTAAGATACGTTTTGCGTATCGTAAAAAATTGACAACTATGAGTGAGATTTTTTAATTAGAAGAGAAAGTTAGATATGTATATAGTTGTTCTCTATATTTATATAGGTAGAGAGGAAAGGGGNCGTTTTGCGTATCGTAAAAAATTGACAACTATGAGTGAGATTTTTTAATTAGAAGAGAAAGTTAGATATGTATATAGTTGTTCTCTATATTTATATAGGTAGAGAGGAAAGGGGTTTTCGGGTGAGGGCTGTCACATTTAAAAAAATGGAGAGACGGATGGAGGGGGAGAATTTGGAGAGGGAATAAATGAGGTGGTGGTTATATCAATGGTGTAGTGATTCAAAAGGAAGGGGGGTGATGGCTTTCGGGTGGTGGTCAAAGATGGTGGCTGAATTTTGATCAAAGGAATAGAGTGGAAAGGGACAAAAATTTTGCCAGTTCTAATGTTGAAGATTGCGTGTTCAGCAATTATGATGAAGCAGGCTGTTTGGCTGATGAATCAGTTCCATTTGGTAAAATGCTTAGTTGCAACTGCTTTCGAACTCTTAGTTGGTTGGCCGAAATTTTTTAGCAACAATATTTAGCAAATACATGAGGGTAAATTTGTCAAGCTCCTGTAACGCTGTTTGTTTGACTAGATTGACAAGGGGCCCATTGTAATTTGGGTGCCATTGGAATTGCCAGAACCAAGTGGTCTCATTGTAATTTGCCTAAATATTGAAATTATAGTCTGTCCTTCTCTAGTCAATCATTTAAATTTTTTTTTGGGCTTGGTTTGGGAAGAAAGAAAAATCAGTTATGCTGGTCCATGTTCTAATTTCCAATCATCTAATGTTCTGCTTTATAGGTATTTTCGGATGGAACCTCTACCAGGCCGCAAGTATGTACTCTTCTCCCCTGTTTTACATTGTATTATGCTGGAGTCTAGCTATTTTATGCTTCATGTAGTAATTGTTTAGTGACAATGGTGTTTGTTTGTCAATCAGACATCTCACGTGACCCTCCCTGGTCCCTCCACCCAAAAGAGGGAAAACTATAGAAAAGAGAACTCATTTTGTAGGCTTCATGTTGATGGATGTATTCCTTTGTTATTTCCTTTAATGTGAATATTTAATTGTATTGTCAATGCTCAGTGCACTGGTACCTCCTCAACCTGGAGAGAAAGTTGTGAATTATCTGACTCGTCCAGTGGATACAACCACAGATTTTGAAGGAACAACTAGTCTTCAACCTTCTCAACCGGTATGCTTACAGGCTTTGGAACTTGTTGACTGCTATAATAATATAAAGCTGCATAAAACTTAAATAGATTTCTTGGATGTGCATGTGGGCCTTTCATGAGACTAAGTTTAATGTTGCAAGGCTTGCATCTGCTTCTCTTCTCCATGAACAAAAAACTTATAATAATTTAAAGGAAATGTTGTTTTACTTGGGGCCTAGGAAGTACGGATACGGATACGGCTGTCGTATCCGATATGTACGGACACGGGGATATGACAAAATTCTAAAATATAAGATATGGGTACGGCGAGGATACAACTAATTAAAATAATATAATATATTTATATATATATAATAACATTAATAATAAAATTGGGTAATTAATTAATATTTTATAATTGGACAAATGGACTAATATTAAATTTGATTAGTGGACTAATATGTTCTGGGCAGTGGGTTAAACCAAATTGGGTAGTGAGTGACAACTAATAAGGTATGATTGTAATTTAACATAAAATATAAGAAGTTCAAGGGTTCCTTGTAAATTATTTTAGCAACTAGGGCAAAGAAAAAAAGAAAAGAAACTAGTAGGGGTTGAATAGTAAATAAAGACAAGGCCTAAAAAAAAGAAAAAGAAAAAGGCATTGCTTTATTGCTTTTCAGCAACTAGGGCAAGCCGCAGACGATAGAAATCGTAGAGGGAGAGAGAGAGAGAGAGAGATCTGAAGATGAAGATGACATACCTGCTCAAAGGGGAGGAAATCTATGGCTGTGGCTGATTAGATACATCGTCTTCTTCCCTCTCTCCCCCCCCTTTTTTTTTTGGTTTCAAATCCATAGTTGGGGCCATATCCTTCCGTATCACCTCCGTATACGAGCCGTATCATCCATAACAAATATTTCTTAATTGTTCAGGACACTTGTAGAAGTGTCGGACATGTGTCTGGCAGTCTCCCACGTGTATCCATATCGGACACGTGTCCGACACTGCCAGGTCGACCCCCTGAGGAGTATTCGTGCTTCCTAGCTTGGGGCCGGTTTGGTATTGCTCTTTACTTCATATAGTTAGAAAAACAGAAAAGGTAAACAAACTTTGAGTAAGATGTTTGATAACGTGATTTATATTTAATAAACTGGTGGCCCTTTTTTTCCCGAAAAATAGGAGTCAAAAAATTTTTCCCCGAAAAACATAGGAACATAGGTATGAAATGCATTGACAGTAAAACACTATGACACAAAGAAGCACATACATGTAACATGAGAGGTAAAATACACAAGCTAACACACACACACACTCCCTCTCTCTCTCTCTCTCTCTCTCTCTAGAACACACACATGCCTACAAATACATACAACAATAAAATACACGCGCACACTAAAACATGCTGATAAAAATACTTATGCACATAAACACACACATAATGATAAAATGCATGCACACAAAATGCGATAACAACGCCCATATGTACACACACTACACACACATACTGATAAAAATATACAAACGTTGTACCAACAGACGAGTTAGTCTTGTTCTTGCAAGAATAAGAGTGAACAATAGGGGGGGTAAACTTGAGGAAGATGAAGATTGAGATGAAGTGAACCTTGGAAGTGAGCATGTCATAAATATAACAATCACCATAAATATTATCAGGGAAAGGGTCAATGTAAGGCTGGTCAGATCTAATTAAGGGTGTTAGAAGCAATAGGAATGAAAAAAAAGGAATATGCTCAAGAAAGACCACGTGTTGAGATACATACAATCTTTTTGCACATGGTAATAACAACACCGCCATTTTTGTTCCTCAACATACCTAAGAAAAACGCACGTAGTGAATTGAGCAGATAACTTATTTTGTTCAGCTTTAGGAAAAAGAACAAAATAAGTATAACCTCGCAATGAGAAGTAGTTAAGAGGTTTAATATAAAACCATTCAAAAGGAGAAATATGCGAAGTAATAATAGAAAGAATACAATTAATGAGATGAACAACTATGAGAATTGTCTCCCCCCAAAAGAGTTGGGAGCAAACATAGATAAAAGTAATTAACGAATAGTCTCCATAATGTGTTTGTACTTTCGCCAGCTACACCATTCTGCTTAGGAGTGTTTGCACAAGAGGACTACTGAATATTTCCATCNTTGTACTTTCGCCAGCTACACCATTCTGCTTAGGAGTGTTTGCACAAGAGGACTACTGAATATTTCCATCAGATTTGAATAGATCAAGAAAATCAATATATTTGTATTCCCTACTCATATCACACCGCAAATATTGAATAACTGTAGTTGTAGGTGAATCATGGAACGAAAATAGAGAAAAATTCAAATCANTCAGATTTGAATAGATCAAGAAAATCAATATATTTGTATTCCCTACTCATATCACACTGCAAATATTGAATAACTGTAGTTGTAGGTGAATCATGGAACGAAAATAGAGAAAAATTCAAATCACTGCTTCATGAGATAAATATAACACTATCGGGTATAATCATTAGTAAAAGAAATATAGTATCAAGACTCCCCTTTGGTGGCAATGGGGACTGCAGCCCACACATCAAAATGCACGAGGTTGAATGACTGTAAATTTTCCTAAAACACGAGTAGAAACTAAAAACCTCAAATGAGCACTAGAAATATGCCTNCTTTGGTGGCAATGGGGACTGCAGCCCACACATCAAAATGCACGAGGTTGAATGACTATGTAAATTTTCCTAAAACACGAGTAGAAACTAAAAACCTCAAATGAGCACTAGAAATATGCCCAAAACGAAAATGTCATAAATAAAACACAAAAGACTTAAAAGTTCAAACTAAAGGAAGACAAATCAATAGAAGAAGTAGCCACAACTGGACCATGCAATTCGTCTTAACATATATAGTCCTCCTAACTCTATGGCCAGTCTCAATCAACTTCTTGGAATAAAGATCTTGCATTATGCAATAAGGAGAGAATAATTGAACAACGTAACCAAGATGGGATAGTTGAGTAACATAAATCAAGTTCAAAGATAGTTGAGGAATACAATAAACATCAGAAAGAGATAAAAGTGAAGCGGTAATGGATCCAACGCCTGCCAACGACATGGGAGTGTCATTAGCAGCCATAACACTAATAGAAGAAGGGAGAAACGATGTGGAAATAAAGATGGATCATTAGTCATATGATGTGTATCACCTGAAGCAAACACCCAAGTGAATTGAGATATACATACCTAAAAGAGTTGATGAAGATAAACCGGTAGTGGAAGGAATAGACAAGTCATTAAGCTGATACGTGTTAGAAGTTTTTGCAACTGCTCAACAATTAAACTTAAGAAAGGGGCGGATTGGGATTGATCATCCATAGATGTTACAGGTGTTGAATTTTCACTTTCCATAATCTGAAATTTCTTAAAGTTCTGGGGCAGAATTTGAAATATTCAAAACTTTTGGTCCGAATATGAAATTTCAGGAACATTAGGGGCTGAATATGAAATTTTAGAAACTTTAGGGGCTGATTCTATTTCGGAAAATTCATGGATTGAATATGTAATTTTCCAAATTATTTTTTTTTTGAATAGCAAAAGCCCAATGACAGTCACAAGCCACAAAACCCTAGTTGTAACTCCACTGTTCACACACTATTCATGGACTGCTCATCCTCTTGTGATTTAAATGCAAGAAGCAACACTACCAAACATGGTACACACCTTGTGGTTACTGATTGGCAGCTGACTCCTCGTAACAGAAGACTCCTCTCAGCAAAAGATTCCTCTTCACTGAATTTGGATTACAACTTCTGGACCCAGCACATTAATTCTACTACACGCAACTCCTAATACACACCATCAGCAACGGCAACCTGAAATTTCTCTTCAGTGATGACGACAGGCAATGATGACAGAGAGGAGAAAAAACAACGAGCAAATCAAAACAGAAGATCAATGTAACAAGAAGTCAATTGAACCATTTAAACGAACAAAATCAGAGGATATTCATCCTCCTTTTGATCAGACGCCATATGAACAATCAGCATGTCAATCAACCTAGTAAATTAGCAAAATCAGAGGAGAAAATGCAGCGGAATCAAACCAACAAATTGAACCAAGAACATGGACAAACCAATTGAAGCAACCCAAAAAATCAAAATACAAAGGATAGATGAATCAAAACAACCATCCAATGATAACTCAATTGCAAGAGTGGATTTGATACCATGAAAACCTAGATCAAAAGAAGAGAGAAGAAAGCTAATATTCTATGATGATGACAACTAGCTATAGAAGGCACTATATATAAAACCTTACTGGAAAAGAAAACTAAATTACTCCTAATGATAAGCAAAAATAAATATAAATACAATCCAAATAATAATTACCATAAAAAATAAAAGACTAAACATTCTTAACAAATTTTTCAAACCAAGCATGTGGTGAGTGTTTCAGACCTTAGAGTGTTTTCTTCAAACGATATACTAATTATTTTTTCTCAAAAGCAATCTATATTTCTGGCTGAATCATATATACTTCCACCGGTATGTCTTTGCACAAAAAAACATTCTTAATGCCCAGTTTATACAAAGACCAATTAAAATTGACTATAACAAAAAGAGGAAGTCTAATAGGGTTAAGACAAGCAACGAGATAGAAAGTCTCACAGTAGTCTACTGCACATGTTTGAGTGTAGCATTTGACATCTAACCGTGCATTCAAATGCTCAACAGAACCATCTGGATTATATTTTACTATGTAGACCCAATGACAGTTGACAGGTTGCGTACCTGAGAGGAGAGGAGTGAGGTCCTGGGTTTGATGATCATTAAGGGATTTAATTTTTTTTTTGTCTATAGCCAGTTTTTATCCAAGAGAGGTCAATGCCTTATTCAAGGAAGCTAAGGACAAATACAAAGACAACGATGATGCAAAACAATGAAACAAATGAGGAAAGCTGATCAAAAGAGATAATAATTAGAAATGAGATGTGTAGTACAATTATGGGTATATCTCCTCAATGCAATAGGCAGGATCATTAGGAGA